CCATTGTTAGCAGATATTATCCGTTTTTTGTCTGTTACGTAGTGTTGACACCTTCACGGTTTTAAAACGTGTATAGAATTTAAAATGAGGAACGAAACATTTATTATAATGGTATGGAAACTTTTCCCTAGCAGACTCGTTTTAAAATCTTGAAGGGAAGCTCGAGAGAGAAAGGCTAAAAAGGATAATATTTGCTAACGGTGTGATTGGTTTGTTAAAAATATATGTAATGTATCGTAAGCATCGATATTTTCAAATTATAATTATTAAAAATATATTATTGACGTAATAAATACATTTATTTATTTGTATTTAAGGAAAATGAGAAGAACAAAATAATAATTTCTATTTTTATTGTTTGATTTTAATATATGAAAGAGGTTAATGAAATATATGAACCATGAATTACTATTAATTATTCCATTTTAAATATTTTGCAATTAATTTTTTCAATTTTTCTTAGTTTCATTTGACTTTTGGGTCAAAATTATAATAAATTAGGTCAACTAATTGATAAATATTTTAAATTATAAAAAAAAATAATTATAATTTTAACGGCTGGTGTTGATTAATATTAGTAAAAATATAAATAAAATGTTTATGTCAAATAGTTGAGCAACGAATTGGTTTAAATATATATTTTTACTAACACGGAGACAAGATACAGCTATTTCAAGGCACAATACGACCTACAGGGGAGACCTAGGACGGAAACTTGAATTGGAGTCAGAGGATCTAATTAATTAGAAGAGCAATGATTCGAGAGCGGATTCGCCACTGACAGGGAGACGAGACCGCTATCGCAAGACACAACATGACTTACAGGCGAGACCTAGGACGGAAACCTGAATTAGAGTCAGAGGATCCAATTAATTAGAAGAGCGACGATCCGGGAGCGGATTCCGCACTGACAGGGAGACAAGAGACCGCTATCTCAAGACACAACACGACCTACAGGCGAGACATAGGACGGAAACCTGAATTAGAGTCAGAGGATCCAATTAATTAGAAGAGCGACGATCCAGGAGCGGATTCCCCACTAATCGGGAGACAAGAGGTAGCTGTCTCAAGGCACAACATGATTTACAGGTGAGACCTGGGACGAAAACCTGAATTGGAGTCAGAGGATCCAATTAATTAAAAGAGCGACGATCCGGGAGCAGATTCCGCACTGATAGGGAGACAAGAGACCCTATCTCAAGACACAACACGACCTACAGGCGAGACCTAGGACGGAGCAACGATCTAGGAGCGGATTCCCTACTAATCGGGAGACAAGAGGTAGCTATCTCAAGGCACAACATGATCTACAGGTGAGACCTAGGACGGAACCTGAATTGGAGTCAGAGGATCCAATTAATTAGAAGAGCGACGATCCGGGACCGGATTCCGCACTAATCGGAAGACAAAAGGTAGGTCGTGTTGTGTCTCAAGACACAACACGACCTACATGCGAGACCTAGGACGGAAACCTGAATTGGAGTAAGAGGATCCAATTAATTAGTTGAGCGACGATCCGAGAGCGGATTTTCCACTAAGAGGCAAACAAGAGACGACTATCTCAAGGCACAACATGACCTACAAGTAAGATCAACAAAACATGAGACGGAAACCTGATTGGGAATTTGATGATCTAAGTAATTACCATAGCGACAACTCGGAAGCGGATTCTCCACGAACAGGAGGACAAGAGACGACTATCTTAAGACACAACACGACCTATAAACAAGACCGACGAGATATGAGACGAAAAAAAAAAAAAGGGTATAAAGAAAGAAAAATTTAGATAAAATAAATCAAAAGGCTAGTTTTCAAAATTTGGAAAAAAAAAAGGCACATTTTTTTACAAATATATTTTAGAAAAATAACCTTTTTCCAAAGTATAAATATAATGGCCTACATTAAAGTTAGCAACTTTTTTGAGATCCCAAAAGTAACCTCACCTCCCAAAAAAAGAAAATAAATAAATAAATAAATAAATAAAGAGGAATATTTGATGTGTTTAAATCGGTCTGAACAAACGTGAAAGCTCACCAAACAAGACGCACAAAAAACCTTCCCCGACCGACACGGCTCACGCGCCTCCGAGAGGCGCGTGGATGTGACAAACCCTCAATGTGGTCCACGGAAGCTTTTGGCTATTGGGCTGCCCGCTGCCCGTTCTTTGTACTGTAACGTAAAATTTAAGTTCCACTTGTCAACCTCTTGAAAAGATTTTAGGAAAATTAAAAAAAAAAAAAAAAAAAAAAAAAGATTATGATTCCCACCGTCTGTTATTTAGGGTTTCTCTTTCGTCCAGCTCATCATTCCGTGACACGTGTACTGATCCCACTTGTCCTTCACCCATCGTATGTGACCAATTATTGTTTCGTTCGTATAAGACTGTTCATTTTTAATTTTTTTAATTTTAATTTTAATTTTAATTTCTGAATTTTATGCGGCTTTTTCTTTGGATGAGAAAGATGAGACCCTACAAGTTTTGTCTCAACTCTCCTTTTTTAGATCAAAATATGCTTTTCATCTCAAACCTTTTTCTTTTTTTCTTAAGATTATCGATCCATTTTTAACGAGACTTTTGAATTTAGCGTTTATTGTCGAGAATTATTAATTTTTAAATGATGAGATATGTTTTAATCGTTAGTTAACATTTAGGTATGCCCGTTAATCTAAGACATGGTTCGTTAAAAAACACGTCAAAATATTTTTTCTTTCCGGTCATTTTTTAATCGTATTCATATAATTCAATAACCCGATAAACGTGGACAACCTAACCCAAACTATAAAAGTTAGGTTGGGCTAGCTTGATTTTTTTTTCTTCTGTTTACGTTAGGTTAAATCTTTTGAAAATTGAAAATTCGACTCGAAAATAAGGTTACAATCCAACCAAACCCAATTTGTATAATTATTATGAAAATTAAAAATATTTGACATTTGTAACGGATATTAGTGATGCGTTGTGATTTGTGGATAAATATGATTTTTTAAAAATAATTTTACGAAAAGAATAACCCGACAACTCAACCCAATCTTTGAGTTGGATTGAAGTGTGAGCTTTATTTGCATTGTTCGGTCACCAATCCAACCAACTCCAAATTTCAAATTGGTCAAAAAGATTTATCCAACTCAACTCGTGTACAGCTATCTGCTAGCTTAAAATTAAATGCAGTTGTTGTGTGTCAATTTGAGCATAGTTTAACCATTTTCATAGTTAAATTTTTCCACCATACGATTATTTAACTAAAAATAAAAATAATTAGCGGTATACTTCTTATTTACATGAAAATAGGTATTTTTCTAGACGTATCGGTCTAATACGATTATCTCTATCAAATCGTCAAATTTAAAATTTAAAATTTATTTATCTTATAAACGGTATAATACCAAAGTATGGTATTTTTACAAATTTTCTCTCATATATCTAATGGTACAAAATTATTGATCAAAATTAAATTTATACGTTATCCATATTTATTATATGATATGATATGTTGTCATTTTATATGTAACAAAATTGTTTTTTAGTTTGATTTTTAAATATGGATTTTTCTTTTTTTCTTTTCCAACAAAATTGAAAATTTAAATAAATAAGATAAATATTTATAACATTAAATATCAAACTATTAATTTGATCATTAAAATTTTAAATTATTGTACTGCAAAAAATTTATATTTGGTTGTTGGACTTTATAAAATTATATCTATTTAATTCATCTATAAAATAGAAGGTTTATTGTAAGTTATTAAGTTTATTTTATTTTATTTTACTTTATTTTATAGTATTGTCAGAATATTTATATTTTAATACTTAGTATTATTTAAAATACAACATAATGAGCTAGCTTAAATAGGAGTGTATACGGGTTGGATTATATTAATAATTAAAATTTTATAAAGTTCAAATATCGAGCATTTACCAGTTACAACACATCACTAAACTTTGGTTACAAATTTTAAATATTTTTAAAAGTAGAGTAGGATTGTGTTATAACTTTATTTTCGAGTGGTTCGGGTTGACTTAACCAAAAAACTATGAACCCGCAAAACGAACTAAAATTTCGATTTTAAAAAAAATTCAACCCATCCCAAACCAGAAAAAAAAAAAACATTCAGCTGTAGATATTAAATTACCGAAGTAAACGTAAGAGACGATCAAATAATGTTTTTTTTTTTTTAAGTTTTAGAAGCGTATAAAAAACATTTTAAACACGTAAATCAGATATATTATAGGATTCTAAAATACATCAAGGCAAAAAAAACTAAAGTTTGACCCATGAAATGCCAACACAAAAAGATTAGAGGTTCGAATCTATTCAACCTCATATATCATTTGCTGATGGTGGGTTTGAGCTCTTACAAATGGTATTAGAACTAGACACCATGCACAAGAATGTTGTGCCCGAGAACGAGCATGAAAACCTCATCTTAATAGATGCAGCCAGAAGGGAGACCATAGCATAGTAGAACAAGTTTGGAGAGGAGAACGAGTATGGAAACCTGAGCCCAGTAAGCGCGTTTTAAAATCTGGAGAGAAAGCCCATAAGGAAAATGTCGGGAAGGGAAGACCAAAGATGACAATATCTATGGGTTTGGACAGTTACAAATGTTTAAATTGGGTAAGTTAGTGAAGATGCGGAATTATGTATTCATGCCCTTTGAAAGATTTCACTTCTACCCTTCAAAGGATCAAAAATTGACGTGGTTGACCGGTGGCTAATGATATTGTCAATTGTTTTTCTTAAAAGTTATTTAAGGACTATTTAAATAAAATTAATATGGAAGTTAGAAGGATTATTTTGAAAAAATAAAAATGAAAAAAATGAAAAAGGTAAAAAAGAAAGGGTAAAAAAGTGAAGAAGTTGGGGTGAATTTGGGAAGCAAAGAGAGTCAGCTAAGAGAGAGTTAAAATTAATTCACCAACCTGTCTGAAACTTCTCATCTCTCTCTCTCTGTTTACTGTATTCAAAGGCACGTCTTCCAAGTGATTTCCTAAATAAATACTCTTCCACGAAACAAACGCCTTTATCGCGTGTTCATCCATCCACTTTCCTTTCCTTTCCTTTCATCTTCCTTTTCCTCTGCACGAATCCTTTCCTCCAATCTTTCAACCTTTCCGCCATGTCCATGGACCTTGAATTCCCTGAAAATCTCCCTAAAATCCGCCTTCCTTTACAGGTTCGATCGCCTCCCAAGCCTTCAAATTCCATCAACATCCCTTCCTCCGTCTCCGATCACGACGGCGCCGACCTTGACCACCGCGGCTGCCGGACGCCGACCTCTGCCGAGCACAAGATTCCGAAGATCATCAGCTGTCCTGGAGCGCCGAGGAAGCCGAAGCGCCCTCCCGTACCTTGCAAGAGGAAGTTGACCATGGAGCTCAAATTCTTTGAGTTCGTGAATCAAGAAGAAGTCGATAATTTCTTCCGATCCGCTTACGATCTCGAAGCTTCTTCCGCGGCGCCGCCGAAGAGGAGCTGCTGCCGGTCAGCCTGATAATCCAGATTGTCGGTTTGAGCCCTAAATTACTACACCGATTATAGAAAATCAATTTTTCTTTAATTCTTTTCTTTTCTTTCTTTTTTTTTCCCCCCTTTCCTTTCCCTCCGATAGCGAGTCAGCTCTTGATGTGTATTATTATTACACGTACATACCACATGGAATCGAATCGAATCGAATGCAAGTCCTCTTTGCATCATCATCGGAGATAGATAATCGTATTTCCCGAAACAAACAGAACATTCCGCACATATTTCTCTTCTTCTCCCCCTAAAAATTCTCATTAATTTCCTGAAATTCTCTGCTTCTTTGATCGTTTCTGCAGATTTCTAAATTCTTGATCTGAAATTCCAAATCGAACTCATGTAAGTTACAAACCCTAACTATTTCGTATTCCTGTTGTATGAATGAATCCGATCTGTAGCTGCAATAATTGAGTATAGAAATCATGAATTCGCTGCTGATGAATGAAATTACACGATCATGTTCATGATTTCTTCAATTCTGTTTTGCGATTGAGATGAAATTTCCTTTTGATCTGCAGATTTATGCCCTGATTCTTTGTTCTTGTTGAGTAATCAACACGGCTTTGGAAATTTGTTTATAGATATATATATATATATATATATATATATGTTCTACCTCGATCAATTTGCAGATAGAGAGAGATGCAATTTCCAATTCCAATTTCAAACATCAAAAGGAGAGAGGGAGTTCTTGCCAAATTTTTTTAATTCTATCCCCAATTTCAAATTATAGAGAGAGAGAGAAAAATTGGGGGGAGTCGAAATTTTCAGAGAGAGAGAGAAAAAAAAAAAAAAAAAAAAA